TGTGACTTTCCCAGCTGGCTTCTGACAAACAAACTCAGTGGGGATGCTGGCAGGAAGTTGCAAGCCATGGCCATGTGAAATTGCCACCCACAATGATTTGTTTAAGAACTGCAGAGGAACAGATGTAAGTTGACACCATCATTTGAAATCAGGTTTTATGATTAGGCCGCTTAGTGACACAGATGCTAGTCCCAATTGCAGTCAGTAAGTGAAGACTACTTCAATTGGGATGTCACCAAAGGGGTTGTGGAAAGTATTTTCTGCCCTTACTCAAGACTTCCATGGGGAAAACTGGTGCTTCAAATATTGCAGAGGCTTTAGGCATAATTTCATCAGTTAAAAAAGCCCCACATCTGTAAAGTTAGTGTCATGCAGATTGACAGGTGTGGCTCGATAAAATAAAAGACAGAGTCCAAGTGTGTGTGTGTGTGTGTGTCTGTGTGTGTTGATAAGCCCATGCATTTATTGTCTGAATAAAGATGGGTGCCCCCTAAGGAAGGAACCCAGAACCTAGTGCAAGGTAGATGTTTAATTTTTTTTTGCTTTCACTTCATTACATACAGTTAGAGGCAGCTCTCACATGACAGATAAGATATAGGAAAGCCAAAACAGAGAAGTCGTGTGTGGAAAATGTGTGGTTCAATAATTTGTAGAACCAGCAACAACTAGAAGTAATTATTTTCTGTGTGACTTTCTCAGTCTCTTGCAGCCTTGTGGAGGAATTTTGGCCCATCTTTTTTACAACGTTGCTTCAGTCCATTGAGGTTTTTTATGCACAACTCTCTTGTGTTCCCGCCAATCGGGTTGAGGTCTGGATTTTGACTGCCATTGCAACCCCTTGATCCTTTTCTTTTTTAGCCATTCTGTTGTAGATTTCCTGATGTGTTTTGCGACCATTGTCCTGTTGCATAATCCCATGTCAGCCTAACTTTAGCTATTGGACAGATGGCCTCACCTTTGACTCTAGAATACTTTGGTATACAGAGGAGTTCATGTTCGACTCAAAGAGTGCAGGGTGTCCAGGTCCTACGACTGCAAAACAAGCTCAAATCATTACCCCTTTACCTCTATTGTTGACGGTTTGTGTGAGATGCTTGTCCTGATATGTTTGGTTTGCATCAAATGTATCATTCTGCATTATGGGCAAATATCTCCACTTTGGTCTGATCTGTGCAAAGGACAAATGTTCCAGAAATCATGTGATTTGTTCAGATACAACTTTGCAAACCTCAGCCATGCTGCTATGACCATTTTAGAGAGAAGAGATTTTTCCTCGGCAATCCTTCCAAGCAAACCATACTTGTTCAGTCTTTTTCTAATTGGACTGTCATGAATTTGAACATTTAACATGGTAACTGAAGCCTGTAAAGTCTGAGATATAACTCTTTGTTTCTTAGCAATTGATCAAGGGCACCTTTTCAGCAGTACTTGACTGGTACTTCGCCTCATTATGCTGTGGAGGCACTGAGAAATTTCCTAATGGTGAGAAAAATTAACCAGCAGAATGGCTTCCCTTCAGTAGTTGTGGTGCTCCATCACTGGAGGCTTTTCAGAAGAGACAAGACAACCACATGTGAAATGTTATAGGGTCTCCTCAGTGGTGGGTTGCAAATTTTTTAACAACCGGTTCCCTGCCTTAATGACTGTCTGCGTGGGCATGGCTGGGTGATCATGTGAGTGCTTGGGCGTGGCCAACTCGACGTTACTCACCACGACTGGCCCCTCCTCCCAGCCTCAACCAGATACGATATTTATTTATTACTACTGAACATCACTTAACAGTGGCAAGGAAAATCACAAAACAGAGCAAAACTCACTTAAATCTTACTTAGCAATGGGAATTTTGGCTCAGTTGTGGGAATAAAGCGAAGACTATTCCTAATCAAAATGTAGGAAAAGAAGCCTACTTTGCTTACCCCTTTGGGGTGACTTTCAAGAAACATTTCAAGATGAAAGATTTTGAGCACAGAGGGTGGTGGTATCGCTGAAGTTGGTGGGGCCGCCATGCTCGGCTGAGGGCTGCCAGAGGGAGGCGGGAAATCGGAACAGGGGCAGAGGTCCCAGTGAGAAGGTCCTTTGGTAGCTTCTCACACGAGGAGGTGGGTGCTACCCGGCTGCCTTGGGAGCGAGGGGAAATAAAGCGGCCCACCGGCAGGCCAAATTTTCGCTCATTCCTTTGCTTTGCTGTTCTGCCTCTGCTCTTGCAAGCTGCCTTTTCTCTTCCTGGCTCCCCTCGTCCCAAAAGCACTCTCCTCTCTGGTAGCAGCCACCCCCTTCTCCCTCTCTCTCCTCGCTGCCAGGCGATCCTGTGTGAAGAAGGGCTCCACGGCGGCACTTTTTATAAAGATCTTTCAATAAAACCTCCAATGCGGCAGCCAAGATCCAATCCCGAGCCAAAAACCCCACCTCTCCCCTCCCCACCTGATAAATCGTGCCTAGAGCCTGAGGAAGGATGAGAAATTTAATGGGCGGGTGGATGGGAGGATGGAAAGCCAACAGAGCGAGGTCCATGAAGTAAAATGAAGTTTCTTAGCTTGGACTAGCAAAAGGTGGGGACGGCAGGGAATACAAAGGCCAACTGGAGCGACGGCGCAGCGTTCGGTCATGCAGGCTTCAAAGAAAAGTTTACTTCAGGGAAAGGAACGCAACCTGCTTTCTAAAACAGAAGATCCTGCTAAGGTCCAGATCCTACCAAACAAACCGTGGTGTACAATCCGTTTGTCCAGTTCCTGCCGTTCTATGCCTCCCCCCAGCTCCCCTCATTCTTCATCCAAATGCATACACAGAGCAAACATGCGGCAAACAGGTGTGAACCACCTCTGGGTCTCCAGGTTGAGCAGGGGTTGGATTAGAAGATCTCCAAGATCCTTTCAAATTCTATTATTTTCTGTTTTGATGATATTTTTATGTCCTGATAAGTAAAGCCAAAGATATCAAAGAGGGAGTTCTTTCTTTTTCACTTGCCTGTATTTGAAAACAACCCTTTGCTCTGCTAAGAATTTGTGATTGACCCAATGAACAAATTAATTTCATAATTGAATTGATATTTGAACTTGGATCTTGGTAGTCTTCCATGTGTCAAATGAATCATGATCAATGTAAGAGCTTATTGGAGCATTGTGGCATGTTTGCTTTGTCATTGTAATGTAAATGTTTTCTTTTTTTCTCATCTTCTGCAACTATTTTATGTACACTTAAAGATACCCTTTTATTTGAATCTTATAGACAAAGAGGATGGCAATAAGAGTGCTCTGGACAACTGCGGTTAACGAGCAACATTGAATAGCAAAGCAAGTCAGTCGAGAAATCAAAATATCTTCCATTTCCTTCAAAGAGCCACACAATTCTTCACCTCCCTCAGCAAGTAAGAGAGAAATGAGAGAAAATCAAAAAGAGATTTCTAGCTGGGAAAAGTAATGCGTGAAATTCAAGCATATATTACATGAAAAGTTAAGGGAGATTATTTTTCTATTCAGCAAAAGAGGAAAATACCGGTATTTGGAAGTTACTGGAGAGGAAAAGGTCAATTGGAAAGCCACGTAGAGCAGACAGTGTTTCAGGCCTCGCTCTGGGAGGAAGAAAACGGCTTGAATCAAAGCACTACTAAAGAAGGGATCATCCATATTTTTTACCTCCTCATGAATATAAGTTGTGGAAAACCTCCATACACTTGCCTCTTGTGGGAAAGATTCAACTTGTAAATCACACCAGATTATGCCTGAGAGGATCCAAACTGGGCAAAAACCTTACATATACTCTGAATGTGGCAAAACCTCTGATCAGAACAGCTCGTGATGAACCAGAGAATTCACACAGGAGAGAAACCGTTTGAATGTCCTGTTTGTGGGAAAAGTTTCAGTACCAATTCCAACCATATTAGCCACCAGATGATTTACACAGGTGAGAAACTGTGTAAATGTCTTGAATGTGGGAGTAGTTTCACTTGGAATTCTCACCTCTTTGCATACCTGAGAACTCACACAGGAGATAAACCCTTTGAGTGTCCTGATTGTGGGAAAAGTTTCAGTACCAATTCCAGCTTGGTTCAACACCAGAGGACTCACACAGGAGATAAACCCTTTGAATGTCCTAATTGTGGGAAAAGTTTCTGTGATAATTCCAGCTTGGTTCGACACCAGCGGACTCACACAGGAGAGAAACCTTTTGAGTGTTCTTACTGTGGGAAA